TGTTGCTGATGCCTTGAGCCGTAAGAATTCATGTAATTTAGCTTGCCTAATTACTTCTCAAAGAAAAATATTGGAGGACTTAGATCATACTGGAATTAAAATTAGAATCCACCAAATTGGAGTTAAATTAGCAAATATGATAATACAACCTTCTTTGCTAGATGAAGTTAAAGCAAACCAGCAGAATGATCCTCAACTGTTGAAGATAAAGAAAGATGTGGAAGAAGGCACTCGAGGAGAGTTTAAGATACATAAAGATGGATCATTGAGGTTTGGAACTAGAGTTTGTGTGCCTAACATACCAGAGATAAAGAAAAAGATTCTAAAAGAGGCACATCACTCTCTGTATACTATGCATCCTGGATCAACAAAAATGTATAAAGACCTGAAGGAAATATATTGGTGGAATAATATGAAGAAGGAAATTGCCACCTATGTTGCAGAATGTTTCACTTGCCAACAAGTAAAGGCTGAGCACCAAAGACCAGCTGGATTAGTCCATAACTTGGACATACCAATGTGGAAATGGGAAAAGATCACCATGGATTTCGTCACTGGCCTTCCAAAATCTTTGAGAAATAATGATGCAATATGGGTAATTGTGGACCGGTTGACAAAGTCGACCCACTTTTTACCTATCAATATGAAATTCTCATTAGAAAACCTGACTAAAATGTACATTAATGAGATAGTAAGGTTGCATGGTGTACCAATATCAATAGTTTCTGACCGAGATCCTCGGTTCACATCAGAATACTGGAAAAGTGTGCATAGAGCTCTGCAGACTAAACTAAATTTCAGCTCAGCTTATCATCCACAGACAGACGGCCAATCAGAACGGACAATTCAAACACTGGAAGATATGTTAAGATGTTGTGTACTGGAAATGAAAGGATCGTGGGAAGATTATCTGCCTCTAGCCGAGTTTGCATATAATAATAGCTACCAAGCTAGCATTCAGATGGCACCATATGAACTTCTTTATGGAAGGAAGTGTAGGTCTCCTATTCATTGGGATGATGTAGGAGAAAGAAAACTTCTTGGACCAGAGTTGGTACAGCAAGCAATTGATAAAATTCAATTAGTTCGAGAACGTCTTCGCACGGCACAAAGTCGTCAGAAGAGTTATGCTGATCAAAGAAGAAGGAAATTAGAATTTCAAGTAGGCGATCATGTTTTCTTAAAGGTTTTGCTTACCCGAGGAGTGAAAAGATTTGGAATCCAAGGGAAGTTAAGCCCGAGATTCATTGGTCCTTTTGAAATTCTAGAGCGTATTGGTCCAGTGGCGTACAGATTAGCATTACCACCAGCCCTGTCTGGCTTCGAAAGTTCATCCGAGATCCAAATGAGATTGTTGAGTTGTCTCCAGTAGAGCTCAAGCCAGATTTGACCTATGAAGAAAGACCAGAACGTATTGTGGATTATAAAGAACAAGTACTTAGACACCGAGTAATCAAATATGTGAAAGTTCAGTGGAAGAATCACTCTGAAAGAGAAGCTACTTGGGAGACTGAAGATTCTATGCGAGAGAGATATCCAGAGCTCTTCGAGATATAGGTATGTTAAGTTTCGAGGACGAAACTTTTTATTAGGAGGGAAGAGTGTAGTAACCCAACTAATTAAAGCCTTAAAAAACTTGATTTATAGAGAATTTTTCCTTTAATTATAGATTAATTAACTAATTAAGGGTATTTTAGGGATTTTACCATAACCCCTGATTAATTGCCACGTTAATAGTTGTGTGGCTAAATGTTATTTGAAGATTTGGACGGCACCTCTTAACGGAAGAATAAAAACAAATGAAAACAGAAAAAAATCAAAGAAAATCGCAGAAAATAAAACAAACAGAAAATATCCTCTCATTTCTTCAACCCAACCCTCTGAGAACCCAGATTGAAATTTGTGAAAAGAAATAAAAGAAGAAGAAGAGGAAGAAGGCAGTGAGAGGAAAACATAGGATTTCATCTAATAAACCCAAGGTATAAACCCTTCTCTTTTGTTGATTTCTTGTTTTAGAAGAGTAAAGTCGTTATAGAAATCTTAGTAATCAATCCAAAATAGAATGAATAAGGGAATTAAATTGTTATGAATATGAACTTAAAAAGAATTTAGGGTTTGCAAAAAAAAGAATTTTTCTTATGTGTTTATGATGCATGAAACAAACTGAGAAAGAAAAAGAAGAAAAAGAAAAATATACTAACCCTAGTTTCGGTAGGAATCTGACACCGGCCACTCTTGGTCGCCGGCAACCCCCTGTCGTCGTCTTGGTGCTTTGGCGAGTCGTGAGAAAGAAAGAGGCAGGGAGAGGAAGGAGGAGAGAGAGAGAGAGAAAGAGAGAGAGGAGAGAAGAAAAAAAAACCGAAAGAAAAAAAGAAGAAGAAGAAAGAAACAACGGGAGGAGGAAGATGATCAGTTAGATTTATTTTGAGGAAATTTTATAAAAAGGACCCTTAGTTATTTTTACTTGCTTATAAAACCCTCTTGAGTGGAGAATAGAAATTGTGATCTAAGAATTCATTCTAAGTCCTTAAAAGCCACAAAATTTTGTAAGTAAACCCTAACAGAGGAAGCTAAAATCTTATATGAACAGAATAATTTCATATAGACCCCTATCAATTACTCTATTTCCAAACAAGTCCAATTTGAAGAGTAAAAGATACCTATTTCTGTTGTGGTCTATCCTATAATACGATGTTAGCCTCGTACCATATATCAAAAGCTAATTTGATCTTTATGTAAAATATGAAAAATAACTTTGGCTCTCGTGCAATTTTCAAATAATTGTGGACTTTGTTATATCTGAAAGTTTTGATGAAATATTGGAACGTATTTCAATAGTTTAACGGATTCAAAGATTTGCCGTAACTTAGTATCTGATAAAAGAAAAAGTGAATATCTGAAATCTTCTTTAACTGAAATGAGTATTTTACCTTGTCAATTTCATTTGAAATATATGCAAATTCTGATATGCAAAGTATTTCTCTTTTGACATGTGATCTCGATATTTTCAAACCCTCAAATAGTCCACTATGGATTGGTTCTGCCTGCCATATGGTGAATGCACCTTTATTTGGCCCTTCTGTATTTGGCCTTGGCCCTTCTGTATTGGCCTTCTGAAATCTGTTCTGGCCCCTCTGTATTTGGCCAGTAGCCTATGGCAGTGTTAGGTGCATTCGGTTCCCGGGAATTATCTGTTATCTGATGCGGTTTACGCATTCCCTTGCTACTGGGCTAAAATTTGTAGCCTTAGTGTGACCTATGGGGTGACTTTTATGTTCATGAAATAACTCATCGAGAAATAAGATTCTGATAATTTGACTGTGAAATTAAGAAAACAACAATTCTCTGATTTTGCCCAAATTAGTAGTTCTTTTCTTCTTAATGTTTACCTTGTTTCAAAAAGAGTTTGATTTCAAGAAATTTCACAGTTTATTCAGTTGCACATGAGAAAGAAAATATAATTGTTGTATTCTTTCTTAAAAATGACAATATTACGATATTTGGATCGTATTCTGTTATCTGTGGATTTCTCATGCAAAACTTGAAATTTGTAAATTTCAGAGAACTATTCTTATTACTATTTTGTTAGTTATCTAGGAACTCTAGTGGGAAATGTTCTCACTGAGCGTTAGCTCACCCCATTGTTTTTAAATATTTTTCAGATCCGGCGTAGCTTCCTATTAGCCGACTTTTGATTTGAGCTTTTGGCTGAGAGGCGTGATATGGAGAGCCTCTTCTTTTCAATGTTACCTTCAGCACATTTTGTTTTATTTTGTAAAAATACTTATAACGGTGAGCTTGTGGGTTGTAAGTACCGATCATATATATAGTTGCTCTGATTTCTATCATCAGCAGGTTTATTACTATTTGAAAATAAACTATGTGATATGAATTGCCAGGCTTGACTCGTGCATAAGACTTGTCTCGTGCACGGGTCGCTGCTGTCGCGTACCCCGTATTTTATGATATTCCGCTGTAGTTTCGGGGCGTGACAAGGATGACGACCGAGTACCAGAGGATGACGACCGAAGCCCTTCGGATTTGTTCGGGTTGGATTTCGTCGGGTTGAAGAAGGAGGCGGCTAGGTTAGAGCTCTGATACCATGTTGAAAGATTAGGGTTACTTTCTCTCATAGATAGATACCCTTTTATAGAAGGGCACTCTTACAAATAGGTCCTTACAACATTGACTAATTACTATCTAAATAACTCAACAGTAAGCTAGTACAAAATCACCTATTTAAAGGGCAAAATCAGATATTTCATTCGCGACAGGCCAAACCTTTGCTTGTCCCCTGGATCCCATCTGTTTCCAGAAGCAAAAGCAGCATCGCTAGGAAGCAGGTGCAGGTTTAAGTTAATCCAAAATTTTAAGGCTGCCTCGGTCATGGAAACTCCTAGGTGGCTTCATAGATGTGTCGGATGGATATTAGTTAATAGATATGGATCTTGGTCTTACTCTCCCAAGACTACTCATAATCTCGTGGCTCATCTCATGATATATGAACATTTGATCCTGTCTCCTAGGTCTCGACAGGGTAAATGCCAACTATTTCTGCCAGAGGTCTGTCAACCAATTTGGCAATATCTTCAGCCAGAAATGCAAATGGGGGTTATTTTTAATTGTTCTTGATAGGTGCTTTGTTCAATAGTGCATTCGGGTAATTTACCTCCCGCAAGTAACTCATCTATGAGCTTACGTTATTGAGAGACTTATCCTTTATATATCATCTTGTGCATTCATCATCTTTTGTATCACTTATTTGGCTTTATTCAAATACCATGAAATTGAAAAGGAGCCGAGAAATTGAGATTGTTGCAATTTCTCCCAACATTCTTTGCTCAGTATCCAGGAGACAAGCCCAACAACCATATTTCCCTATAAAAGGAACCTAAGCTGGAGCTCCCATACCACACTTCAAGCTATCTGCCCTCCTCTTCCTTTTCCTTCTCTTTCTTAGTTATACATCTTCTTAGTAGAAGAATATCTTTGGAAATCCAATGGAAGGCTTTTATCTACAAGGCTCCCAATTGCCGCCAGGATTCAGATTTCATCCCACTGATCAAGAACTAATCACCCACTACTTAAGAAAAAGGGTCACCTCTTCCCTCACTCCAGCAACATCTATAATTGCCGATATAGACTTGTACAAGTTCAATCCATGGGATCTTCCAGGTAATTCCTCCTTCCTTCCTTTTTTTTTTTTTTTTTTTTTTTTTTGCACACTTTGTTTCTTAGTTGAGAACCTTCCTTCCAATTTACACCAAGCAATTTTCCTAAAGAAGATAGTAAAAGAGCCTACTTTGGTAACCGTTAAGAAGCAAACAACTAATGCTTATTCAAATCAGTATGTGGGCTGGAAAGACGGTAATGTAAAAAAATCAGTACTGCAGATCACAAATTACTTAAAATTCTAATTGACAGGTTTTGTTTGGGTGATCAAGGAATTATTATCAGGTTTCTCTTAAGTACAATCTTGCGACATTCTGTTTGGATGCACTTAGCTATGACAATGATATTAGCTTAAGCTAATATTAGTCTATTGCTAGGAGATGTTTGTAAGGGAAAAGAGATTAAAAATAAAATAAAATAAAATAAAATTAAGATATCATCAGATTTTGGCGCTAGTGATAACCTGTCAATTTGGTAGTAGTAGTTAACTGTTGTCGTCTTTGATCAGACAAAGCTTTCTTTGGAGAAGGTGAATGGTTCTTCTTTACCCCTAGAGATCGGAAGTATCCTAATGGATCACGGCCAAATAGAGGAGCAGCATCTGGATACTGGAAAGCTACAGGCATAGACAAACCAATCATCGCCACCGGTGGGTCCCAGTGCCTCGGCGTGAAGAAAGCCCTTGTCTTCTACCAAGGCCGGCCACCAAAGGGAATCAAGACTGACTGGGTCATGCATGAGTATCGTCTACTTGATGACAATACTTCTTGGGCCCAAAAGCCTAAGAGTTCGATGCGGGTAAGAACTGAAAATTTCCAGCAGTTACGTCCACTTTTGTTTGTCATACTAAAGTCCAATCCTGCGCATGCTTCTTTCAGTTGGACGACTGGGTTCTCTGTCGGGTTAGGCATAAAGGAAGTATTCCAAATGAAACTGACAAGAAACAAGAAATCTCAAGCTGTACCGATCCCAAGGAACATGAAATTTTGAAAGGAAGTAGTGAAAACATAATCGAATGGAGCGATCAACAACTCTTTGCTTACCTCTTGGGTTCCCACGAGAAGGGCGAGGAGAGCACATCTGAGGTCATAAACTCCCCCAACTCCTGCAGCGAAGAAACCACAGCCTACTATGGATGTACTGCCGAAATGGCACAATCATCGCAGATGGTTCCACCCATGCTGAACTCGATAAAACGGATGCTTTCATTTGGAACATTGGATGAGCTCATTTTGCAGTCTCCAAGCAAGAAATCGTGCTATACTAGTATCTCTGAGCAGCCATTGCAGACTGGTTCATTGTTGGCTGAGCAGTTCTATCCAGAATTCTTAATGTGGTAATTTCAGGATTGATGTCAGAAGTGCCTACAGAATTATTGATACAGATGCTGAAGGGAGGCAAAAGAAAAGGTAAAAATGTTCAGCGTGACGCTGAAGATGAGTATGAAAGGATTGAAGAACAAGGTTTGAGCAAGTAGAAGTATACAACACAATATTGAGGTCGAAGGCAATCAGGTCTGCATGCAGGAGTACTTAAGTCTGTAAATAGGAGAAGATTTTTGTTTTTTAATTAGAATAACAGGCTCTGTAGCAAAATCAAATCTTTGTTGATTTATTTAATTAACCTGTTTAATGGGGGGGAAACTGTTATTATACAGGAATTCAGGTATAGCCCTATAAACAACCTGTTAATCAACTTAGTTTCTTGTGGTGTTGACATTTTGGTCACTTCACCACTAACAAGTAACGACATCAATAGTTTGATATACAGTGTAAATTACTATATATTATGTTGTAACTTGCTACTTTTTGGTTCTAAGTTGTTTAGTATACATTTATTTTTAAACCAAATGCTTAAACTATTTATTTTTTCTTTTTTCACACTAAAGCAACAAACATGGCAAACTGTAGATGGGTTTTTACTTTTTAGCCTATAAACCAAAGTTGATCCCCATTAAGTTTTTAACCCGTCCCCTTCACAAAATTGTTTTTCATCTGTAAGCCCAAAGTTTTACCCCCCATGTATTTTTCAACCCTTCCACCTAAAAAATCACACTGAGATCCAACCCAACCGAATTATTGTTAACCCACTTTCTATTTCAGTAGTTCGGTACGTTAAGTTGCTATATTTTACTGTAATATGCTATAATTTTTGTCTAAGTAATTAGGAATATGTGGTATTTCTAAATAAAATGTGCAAACTGGGTTTTGGCTTTGTTCACACTCATGCTGTAGCATCGTTCGGGTTAATTTAGCTTGTTTATCATCTAAATCAGAATGGCTCATTTCCTTCTCATCCGCCAACTGATCCAAAGAGCTTAAACCACCCCAGATTCTATTAAACTCTCTCACTTAAGAATTCCCTGGAGAAACAATCATACTCCTAGCAAATATGCAATCTTCTCCTTAATGAAACAAGCACACTCTCACTTAATAATACGACTACAATATAAACTATCAGTGTGAAACTAACACAAAAAGAACAGTACATTGACCTGTAACAACGTATGTTTCCAAGATACGTCAAGGAAAAGATTTACAAGGAATTTCGTATAACAAGACATGGGGAAACATTGAATAGACTTGAATTATGCAGACCTAAACATTGGAAGGTAGCACTCATTCATCAATAACATTCTGAAAAAGAAATTTTCACTGCAAAACAAAAGCTTTTGATCAAATAGGAGGATGTAACAAAGACAGCCAGATGGTATTACATAAATACAATGGAAGCTAAAAGCTAAGCAGCATTTGTTGCAACCTGCCTAAAATGTGACTATATGCAGGGACAATCACAACGTTTGACATATTGACCAACAAGACATCCCTCATTGCCAAAGTATTAATGGGTATCCTTGTCATAGGAGGGGATTTCCTCCTATGACGCCTCTAAAATCACATGATTGAGCGACATTGTGGATGATCCGCTCCGTTGAACTTGATCTACATATTCTAAAACCCCAACACACCAAGTTTGGGGTGAATCCGTCGTCGTTTGACCCTCCATCGAGCCATGTGAAAAGTTCTATTCATTCAAAACCGTTAAAATTGATACGAGTGGATGAAGGGTCAAACGACGACGGGTTCACCCCAAACTTGGTGTGTTGGGGTTTTAGAATATGTAGATCAAGTTCAACGGAGCGGATCATCCATAATGTCGCTCAATTATGTGATTTTAGAGACATCAAGGAGGAAATCCCCTCTTATGACAAGGATACCCATATATATATATATATATATAGATATATAGATATATTTTTATATGCAATTCCTAAAGAATACAGTTAAGGAACTCCCTAAACAGAAGGACTAATAAAATAGGACCTTCAAAACTTTTTGCCGAAATTAATACATACATGCATGTGACATCCTCAAGATGTATTCTAATGAAAAGCCTTTGGCATCTATTTTCATGAGGGGATTCCAGATAATCCTACATGTAAGGAGTGGATATCCGGAAATAGTTTAAATTCCCCAACCATAAGGCATCAACCATATGGTACATTAATATGTTGGAAATAATCTAAAAGATAAAGAAAAGGAAAGCTCCAAGGGTCTGCACTAAAGCCTTCCCATTTTTTTTAGTATCCAACTTGAGTTGAAGAGAAGCAAGTTCCTCTTACGTTTCATTCTACATATCATGTTTCTACATCAAAGAGTTCTGTCTTATAGTTCAGTCATGAACAGCTGTCTTGGATCTAATATAGCAATAATTGCATTATGACACAAATCCTTCTCAGCTATGTAAGGTCTCACCAGCATAAACTGATAGCCACCATATCCTCTATCGCTATGTCAATTTGAACAAGCTAGACCTTCGAAATTCAAGAATGACTGTGCAAACTAATTACGTCTCAACAGAAACAACTAGCTAACAAAATTTGAGAAAGGTCATGTCAGAATCTCTATGATATACTAAATACAGAATATCAATAAAAAGAAAAAAAAAAGAAAAAAATCCAAAACCCATTAACTCATATAAGGACTAACACCCTAAGTTGGACACTCCAAGTTGGACTCTAGTCTAAAGGTTTCCTTGGAATAACCACCATCTACCTAGATATAACACCATATTCTGCTGCTCAAAGAAAACAGCTGCATAAGAAGCTATGACACAGAAGACACGAGATTTAAAAAAAAGTATGATAAACAACTAAATAGATAAACAAACAGTATAAAAAGTTGCACGTAAGATGGGTTTCTTCTCATACTTCTCTCTTCTTTTTGTTCCAGAGAATGCGTGAGCCCTATAAGAACAGTTTGACATCTCCAAGAGAAATCAATTAGAGACTCTGCACGAAAATCGTTAAAAAGGAAAAGGGGGGGAAAAAGGAGAAAGACAAAGGCTTATGATTTTCCACTGGTAGTTTCTGCATACCTCCCATGGAGCCAACAAGATAGGAGAACGACAGACACATCCTGAAAGAAAATATCACTTCAAAATGTAAAATGGGAGGATATAACAAAAACCACCAGACATTTATTGCAGAAAAACAAAGTGCAAGTGCAAAGCTAATGAGAACTGGGTGCAACGAATTAAGAATCTCTTCCTCAGACTTGAATAAGTTAACCAAAAGGGAGAGAGATAAGATGCATTTGTATGTACTGGAAAAAAGAGGGAGGGAAGACCTAAGCTGCCGCCTTTGTCAGCCACTGACATATTGAAAAGAGAGCATAAATTGAAATGTGGAAGCAAATGACATTGCTCATGCTAAAATGAAAGAAGAACAGAAAACAAAATCAAAGAACTCATCTAATAAAAGATAACATGTTCGGAGTTAAATACGAGCATTTGGAACAAAAGATCCACAAAGATAAAATAATTACTTCAGATTGTCACCCACGGTTCAACAAATAAACACATTCCATATTCTAGATGTGCACAAGATGGAAGCAAAAACCAGGTTGAAACCAGCAAACATCACGCTCTAATGAAAAATGAGGTTGAGCTAATCCCTACAAAAATGCTAACAAGACTAGACACCTAAATTCTCTAGTCAAAGGACACAAAACTATTCTATGCAATATCATCCAAGATTTAAAAACCAATAGAAAGTTCTGGAACCAAAAAGCTGAATTTAAACCAACAAGTCCTGAAGTCCTATGACTGACTCTAAAGAACGTATCGGGAGTATGGGTTTAGCCATCTCGTTAGAGCTATGGCTAGGTTTTTCTAGGAGATTATTCGTGCAATTGAAAGAGAGAGTGCCCTATATCCAAGGAACCAAGAATTATCTTGTTTTGTTCCCCATTCCCCCTTCAAGCAGCTACATAACATGATATGGCCTTAAGACAGCACTGACAACTCTGTTTCCTGGATCTTCTAAGCACACTAAAATTCTTTTCTAATGAGAGAAGATTGGCGTAGAGAATTGCAATTGTACACTATTTGTTTATATATACACTAAAGTTAACTGGGATGATCATATTTATTATGGAAAAATGAGACTAAAGATAAAGTGGTCCAGTGGAGTTACTATTTGACGTGGTGATCACAGTACATGGTTTGAATCCAGGTAAGGGCATTTCTGTTTGAATTTTTTTAAACTATACCCACGGTTTAATGTCATTTTATTCTTCAACACACGCATTTCCATAATTGGGTTTTTTTCCTATAAACCCAAAGCTTTTTTACCCATTAAATTTTAGACCCACCCACTTGCAAAGTTTAACTATGATTTTTCATCTATAAATCCAAACTTTTACACCAATTTATTTTTTTGCACACGCACTTTCAAAGAGTCGTTTTACCTATAAACCTAAAGTTTTATCACTATTTATTTTTAAATCCGCACACTTCCATAAAGAATATTTTGTAATCCGAAGTTTTAACTCCATTTACTTTTAAAGTCACGCACACTCTTAGACTTGAAATATTCCTAGAACTAATTTTAAATGCACTTTGCAGTTTAGTTTCTTAGTATATGATATAAGTTGCAATATTATTGTAACTTGATATATTTTTTGTTCTAAGTGATTAGATACGCGATGCATTTTGAACAAGACACTAAACTATTATTTTGTTGACTTTTTCACACTACTGTCGCATCATTGCAAATTGTAGATGGAGTTTTTATAAACTCAGCATTTTAGTCCCCTTATTTTTAAGCTCATCCACTTCAAAAGTTTTATTTGTCTATAAACCAAAATTTATCCCCATTTATTTTTAAACACACCTACTACTAAAATGACTCTTATTAGACCTAAATATTTAATCAAATTATTTTCTAATTCACGTTCTATTTCAACACTTTGTCACGCGTTGTAAGTTGTTATATTTTGATCTAACTTGCGATAACTTTTTTAAGTAGTTAAGCGCAATATATATTATTAAACCAATTGTTTATATTAATGCCGCGGCATTGTGCGGGTCAATTCTCGTTATAGACCAAAGTTAGCACGGTTAGTGATAGCAAAGAAAGTGTCTAACAACATGATCCCCAATATCAACTGCATATTGGTTGAAATTGAAACCATCGAGGCTGACAACAACAGTACTAGTACAAAAGGGGCTATAAACCAAACTCCTTCGATCTTGTAATTCTAGATGAGCTTTGACCTATAAGATATTGCAGAAATACATTGAATGGCATAATATGCCGGATGCACAAAGCATATCCACTTGTATACATGCACTTCAAATGCCAAGCTATCTCAAGAACCACCACGACTCTACGTCAACAGTATCTATCTATCTGAACCACACATGATTAATTACATGATAGATAGACTATCTGATCATCCCACCCTAGCATACATAGGTCCTTTTCTAAGAAGTCCAATTGCACTGCCTTAAACCCTCCATTAAATGGATGCTCACTCAGCAACCTAAAATGCATTCCTACCCGCAAAATGCCTTATTTACACCATGCACTCATATATGAAAAGGGCCTACATGCTAAGCTTGCCGCCATGATTCATCTGAGCTAACCGCAAATTTACAAGAGATCCTTCGACAGTCGCCCAACACTAAACCGAAATCCAAAGAGACCAAACGCACTGACTTTGGCCACCATAGTCACCTACGGCCGTAACCTAACGCCAAGATAAGAGAATAATGACAGTATCGTGTGGAAACTACCCAAGCACATGCATAAGATTTTCCGGAAAATGCACATCATCAGCGTTGATTTCTTACGAGAAAAGGAAAACTGAGCCCCAGAGATGCAAAACGAGTGTTCCTGATTAGTATCAGAAGATGTTTAAAAGTACAGAAGGGGGAGGGGAGAGGAGCCCCCCCACAGTGTCAAATCTTTCAGGAAATAGGAAAAAAAAAAGGAAGAAAGAATTGCATCCAGCGATTGAGATACCACCTAGCCTGACATATCTGTGAACGAGTAAAAACGTGGGATGTGATGTATACGTGGGACCCCACGTTGTGAAGAGATCAGCGAACAAAGAGCGGAGCTTTTGTTTTCGCGTGAGATTTGAGAGCAGGCCCACCCGATATATTCATATATATAAGGACGTGATCTCCTAGGTTTTCCTGTAGCAAGTTGAGGGGTTGCACGGTCTGTTGGCGGCTGAGCAAAGGAGGGCAGCAGCGTGCGTGCGAGGTCAGGTGCAGTTGGCGGCTGAAGTTTGCAGTAGCAGTTGGAGGCGTGCAAGAGAGAAAAGGCAGCGGCTGATGTGTGCTTTGCGGCTGAAGGAGAAAAAAACACCAGCGGCTGTTTTTTAGAGTTTTATGCATCCCCTTTAAGAGAATATTTGTAAGAGGGATTTGAGAGTTTGTTTGAGAGAGTTTAGATTTGTGAGATTGTAAATCC